GATGACAAGCTCTTGCTAATGAAAAATGGAACCCCAAACTTCCAAATTCCTTGTAGACAAGCCAGAAGAGGAGAAATAAGTGCACACCTGGGGGAGGCAATGCTTGCAAACTTCGTCATAACCATGGTTTATTGTGACATCTAAATACATCTAAATACAATGTGTGACTAGCGCTGGCATAGATCCATTCAAAATAGAATCTTTGATTTTCAGAACAGTGATTTTCATAACTGTAGGGTTGTAACCAAGGACAGAAGAGAAGTCAGTTTTGCCTTATGCATCACATACATATTCTAAGTAATTTATGGCACAAGATTCATACCAATTAAACCTGAGCTATTACCCACAAGCCTTGCTGTCTTTAATGGAAGAGATCAGGCTTAATTGCAAGCATTATGGTTTATGAATCAGGTCTTCATGAGTCCAAGATGGATGTTGTGTACCTAATTACATTTGCTCAAGTCACCTTCAGTGTGACTGTGTACACAACTGGATTAATGATTGAAATCTAATCCTGAGTTGTAAGACCTAGCTGTTCTGTTTGGCTTTTGATAAAGTAGCTGGTTTTCTGTGGGTGCCTTAAATCCGTAGTGACTCTGTTTATGTTTTTCATGTATTTTTCTGAATTGCTGTAAAAGCGATATAGAAGAAAAATGCAAGTCCTCAAGCCATTCACGTGGATTAGTCTCCATTATTTCATTTGTACTCTACTGTATATATTTTAAGAGTATGTGAGTTCAGAGTTTTAGCCTAAATCATTCTAAGAAATGACAATACTTAGGAGCTCATCACATTGAAAATCAATAGTACTTTACTTCACCTGAAATGTGACTGACTTTGTTTAGCCATGTATTTTGCTTTATTATCTAAAGTGTTTTGGACCGGACTGCTTGGCATAAATGGGAAACTCTCAAATTTTGAAGGCTTTACAATACAATGCATCTATCTCTAGAAAGGATGGTGTGTGCCTGGCTGGACCAGTAACTGCACACGTTGAAGATGTCTCTCTGCATTTGCCACTGGGGGATGAGCAGAATTGTTTCTGACACTGCCAGCAACGAAATGTCAGCTTTAATAGCACCAGCCATCTGCTCTTCTGAAAGTTTTTCTTCCCACTAAAGAGATGATCAGTTTTGTCAGAGATTGACATGTTCAACCTGCTGTTAGGTCTGTGCAGGGTTTGATACACACGAACAGCTCATCTCTAGACAGTTACACAAATGTCTATCATCTATCCATCATCTATCTATCTATCATCTATCATCTATCTATCTATCTATCTATCTATCTATCTATCTATCTATCATCTATCTATCTATCAATCTATCATCTATCATCTATCATCTATCATCTATCATCTATCATCTATCTATCTATCATCTATCTATCATCTATCTATCTATCATCTATCTATCTATCTATCATCTATCTATCTATCTATCTATCTATCTATCTATCTATCTATCATCATCTATCTATCATCTATCTATCTAATCTATCATCTATCTATCTATCTATCTATCTATCATCTATCTATCTATCATCTATCTATCTATCATCCATCTATCATCTATCTATCTATCTATCTATCTATCTATCTATCTATCTATCTATCTATCTATCATCTATCTATAGGTCTAAAATACTTACAATGCTAAGATATTTATAATTCTCATAGCTTTTTAATAATGCTGTTCTTCATGTATTTTAGAGAAGTATTTTGACACAAACCCCACAGCATTATAGAATATTGGAAAACATAATATTGAAGACATGTGAATTCATATCAGCTTATGAAGCTGAATCCGATCAATGGTCCATGTCGCTTGGTACTGTATATAGTTGCTCTTCAGGCAGGAGTCTTTCCCACCCGTATCTGAAAAAGCTGAGCATTAAATCTAGAAGCTTCTACTTTCAAAGCTTGTGCTCTAATTTTTGCATAAAGGTGCATTTGTATTTCAAACCCAGGATTCTACTCATGAACTGCCTTGGACGATTGGATAGTGGAGATACACTGAAAGGCAGGATAAAATCTATTAGATGAATTAAACCTTGTAAGTGAAAGGTGAAAGCTCACAATCTAATTCTCTTGTCCCCTGCCCTACAAGGCAGTTCTTATTTCCGACACACACAACTCTTACTATAGTACCCTGAGACTCCTTTAGATGTTTGGATCACAATAATTACATTTGCTGAAAGATGCATGCCCAGCAACAATTCAAGCTTAAGACAAATGGCTTGTAACTATAGTTTTCATTCAAGTTCTAGCACTACCGAACACATACCCCAAACATTCAGTATGAATGTTCATGTACAGGTCAGAAAATATCCCCCCCCCATTTTTTGCAACACTCCCAGCATCGATTCCTGAAATCTAATTAGGGTCTGAACCAAGAGCATCTCTAAGAGGAACAGTAAAGGCAGTGCCATTTCTATAGCTGTTAGTGTGGGCTCAGAATGATTGCCATTCTAATACTTCTATTAATCTCAGGAAAATCAGTTAAGCTGTTTTCCTGCCTGTAAAGGTTTCTCTCTGCTGGTTCAGTTATTGATTTTAATTTTAACTGAAACCAGGGAATAAATGTAGAATAATAAAGACGTAATATAGTGGTGCTTAGAGTTATATATTTGCAGCTTGTTTGGAGATGTTGTGCACCTTGAAAGGCAAAGTAGCCGCTGTTCTTAAGATTCCACTCTGGATTATAAAAAAACATCTAGTATGGTTGTTTTATATGTAGCCAGGCTAATAAAGTGGTATCTTGGATTAAAAATACCTCGGGTTAGAAACACTTCGGGTTACAGACTCCGCTAACCCGGAAGTAGTACCTCAGGTTAAGAACTTTACCTCAGAATGAGGACAGAAATTGCGTGCCAGTGGGAGGCCTCATTAGCTAAAGTGGTACCTCAGGTTAAGAACGGTTTGAGGTTAAGAACAGACCTCTGGAACGAATTAAGTTAGTAACCCGACGTACCACTGTACTGAATACAAAATGCATTTATGAATTCTATTATGAGGGCTGGATTTTATGTTCCATGATTATATATATATATATATATTTGCTTTCGTAGATTTTCACGGGTACAGGAATGCAGGTTTTGGTGTCCTCGGGTGTCTTCCCGTGTAAAAGTTGGGGTGTCTAGGCGACGTTTCGACGAGGTCTCACTCGTCATCTTCAGGCTGGTGCTTTCGGCTTCTTGTTCGGCTCTGTTCCAGTAACAAGAAGCCGAAAGCACCAGCCTGAAGATGACGAGTGAGACCTCGTCGAAACGTCGCCTAGACACCCCAACTTTTACACGGGAAGACACCCGAGGACACCAAAACCTGCATATATATATATATATATATTCAAATAAGGGGTTGCATCAAATAATGGCTTTGCTTTTGGGGGAAATGTTTTTACTTGTGCACCCCAGGGCACCCAAATGCTGCCAACCTCACCAAACTACTGCAGCCCTCTCGGCCATACCCCGTTCTATTCTAGAAGGCCCAGTAATAGTCAGGAGCAATTCAGGGTCAAACTGGTTAGAGAGGGAATGGCAAAATGACTTGTGCAAGTTGAAATGTTTCCTGCGAAGGCAAAGCCACCATTGGATGCAACCCGGGAAAAATAAGTGAATCCACTAAAACAAATCAGAATCTTGAGAACAAGAGTATGAATGAAAGAAGCTATTACAGTATGAAAATACAACAGGCACAAAACATAACTAATCAAATTACAGCTTTGAAGACTATAGCACATGAAAACTACAACCCATAATAAGGAAGAATATTGGTCATAGATTGAGTTCAAGGTAACTCTTGTGACTTTTGGAGCTAGCTCAGGAAAGTTGCTGGATACCTCAAGGAATCCTCCTAGAGTCATAATTTTGGCTTGCAGATCAAAGGTACCTTCAGATTAAATTTGCGAATAATCCCCTCACAGCAAGGTCAGTACACTTCTCTGTATGGCTCCTCTATAGTGACAGACGATGCAGCACCTCTCAGTTGAGCATAACTGGCAGTGTGCTTGTTCTTGTGTCATCTGTAAACAATAAGGTCTCAACATGTGTCCAATGTTCACAAGATTAGTTCAACACCCCCAAATTACTGAACAAGTCAATTTGAGTTGCTGCATAGGAAATTGTGATATGAAATAGCTCTGGGGTTCTAATGCTGGTTATACATACTTAGACTTGAAATCAACTTAAATCTTTGTGACTGACATCCAAATAAATGCTCAGAATCTGACACCAGTCATATATAAAAGTGTGACTGGCGTGTTAAATAATCACAGTGAAAACAAGCTACTAACTTGCTGGGGAGTGGAATGGGGAGCAGGTACTCAAGACCAAACTTTAAGCAGAGTTGCATATGCCACCATGAATGGGAAATCTATGGCTAATGTGCATATTTTATGTGCATATAATATGTAACATAATCTCAGGAATTTTGTGGGTATTTTGTGTTAAACAGGCACATATGATTCAGCCAAATGTCAGCTATTGCAGGAATGGACATTACTGTGCAGTTTATGCATGCAGACAAATTATAAACCATGTGTAGCTGTAGTTCATAAAGTGGATTAGCTGGAACAAAGTAGATTCTGTTGCCTTTTTCTCAAACTGAGATAAATGGTCTATTTATCCATAATCATGGCTAATAGCCATGATTATGGATAAAATATAATCTCTAAATGGAGGCAGTATATAGTATCTTGGGGACAAAAAACAGGAAATGGCTGTCTCTATCAGACCCTAAATTTTGACTCACCAATACATCTGCCCATCCACTGTTAGAAACGTGGATATTTGATAGAATCTGGAAAATTAATGCTTATGGAATCAACCTTAGAATGTCTAGCATTCAGCCGGTATTCATTTTCATATGCCCAATGGAACTTCAATAAACTTTTTGTGCCTGAATCTTGTGCCTGAAATGTAGAAGCTCTGTGCCAGATTTACTAGATAGGAGCTAGTATACTAATATGTAGTATTTTCATCTCCCCCGCCCTTCTTTTCAGTATGCATTTAATCCAGGTAGACTCTGTTCAACGGTGGATGGAAGACTTGAAGCTCATGACTGATTGTGAATGCATGTGTATTCTTCAGTCGAAACCAATCAGCCTAGAAGAAGATGCCCAAAGTGAATTTTCTCTGTCATCGGAGCACAGCGCTTGTGATAACTTGCAGTTGTTGCTGAAAAGAGCTTGGATTATAAGCACTGAGCTAACGAGGATCGTTCAAAAACTAGAGAAGAACAGGTGGCAGAGGGTCCACAGCATGACAGTAAGAGTCAACTGCCATGTCCGTTCAATGATAAATGAATACAACACATTCAAGAGGAATTCTTGGGAAGAAATGCATCAGGTAGGATTACTGTGAAATGACAGCATCCAGAATGCTGAGATAAATGTTGTTTGTTTTTAAAGGAAAGACCCCATAGAAAACTTTACATGCATGTTTTTGTTTCGTTTTGAATAAAACTTATTCTAAACATATTACCAATCCATCCTCTTGGGTTTTGGAAATAGACACATCATGTAATAATGGGAAACCTATCAAGCTGCCTGTACTAGCTCAGACTGTTTCCCCATCTAGCTCAATAGCTCTGACAGGCATCTTGCTTTCCAAGGCAACAGCCAGGGGCCCTTGATATCACTTCCTACCTATGGGAGGAATTCAGTGTAGCGTTGAACAGACAGCTTCATCAGCACAAGAGAAGAGAAGAAGAAGAGTTTGGATTTGATATACCGCTTTATCACTACCCAAAGGAGTCTCAAAGTGGCTAACATTCTCCTTTCCCTTCCTCCCCCACAACAAACACTCTGAGGTGAGTGGGGCTGAGAGACTTCAAAGAAGTGTAACTAGCCCAAGGTCGCCCAGCAGCTGCATGTGGAGGAGCGGAGATGCAAACCCAGTTCCCCAGATTACGAATCTACTGCTCTTAACTACTACACCACACTGGCTCCCACAAGCATTTCTGTTTGCTGAATGGAATGGCCTGCCCTCTCCTTGTCCCTCTCCTTGCTGTTTCAGGGGTTTCCCTGAGTCTCCCAGAGCCATGGGGGGGGGCTATAGGGGACACACAGGGGGAAGAGAAAGGGGGCAAACCCAATTGCTCGACGTTGTTACATGGGCTTCTGCTTGTAGGGCTCATTAGTTGAATGTTTTAGATTGGCAATGTCAAGGACTGAACCTGGAACCTTCTGCATTCAAGACACACTCTATGTACTCTCTTCAAAACCCAGCTGACTGGGTACAGCTCAATTTCCACCTCTTAGAATTGTTCTCAAGTTAGCATCTTTAAATGCCAGACTAATGTTACATGGACATGCTTAATCAACCTCTTTTTGAGAGCAGGGGTGGGGAAGTCTGTGGCCCTCCATATGTTGTCGGACTCCAAATCCCATTGGCCTTGACCAGTATGGCCTATGGACAGGAATGATGGAAGATGCCCTCCAGAAGCATCTAGAAAGCCACAGATTCCCCACCCCAGTTTTAGAGAAAAGCCACTTTGAGACAAGGGTGATTAGAGCAGAGAAACGGGGCTGGTAGGAGGAAAGTCCTTAAAACTTCTACTTCTTTCCCCATTGATTTCCTGCTCTAAATTGCCCCTCTAAGCCACAATCAATTAAATTTACTTTAAAAATACTTTAAATTAAAATTTATCCTTTGGTTCTGTTTAAAGCAATGTAATTCTATCATTTCCCATAATGCAAAGACAAAAGATAACACTAAAACAACACATCTCTGTTCTCTTTCATTTGCAGTATGAAAAAATGCTAGTGGAAAAATGTTCTGAACTTACAACAGTTACTGAAAGGTAATATAAAATATTTGTTTTGCCCAGTGCTATAATTGGTTTGAAATAAATGGATCACTTTATACTCTCAATTAGTGCTTGTAATCTGTTGGCTCTGATGCAGGCAATATTTGTTTCTGTTAGTAGAGGAATGGTGGTTCTACCTAGCGGGGTTCTACATTTCTGTGTTTTAGCCTATTTCTTAACAGAAGTGAACTGGCGCTTTGGGTCATCATCTTAAATTGGTGCCTTAATATTAATAGCTACTGTTTGGTCTCACATCTTGATTAAGGCTTAGCTTCTGTTCACATGATGGCTAAAGCACCACAGGGACAATTGCACTATTTTTCTTACATTTCCTTTCAGGTGCATCCAGATTGAAGATGAGCAGATATTAAAGTCTATGAAATCTTGTATTAATGATGCTCTAACCACAGTTGCACAGTATTTTGGCCAGTTGATAGAACTAGCTTTAACACATGAAATAAAGGTTAGTAAATATTCTTAACTATATGTAACAATAAGGAAAATGTTTGGAAGTATTGAAATATTTGCTTGGTTTTCATCCCTATGAATGTATCATGCAGCCTCTGAGGTCTCCTGGGACTCATCACTGATGTTCTCATTTTTGGGGTCTGGAAATGCAGTTTAGCTTTTCCCAGGGCCAGAACTCACCATGAATGCCTCCCTTGTTCTCTTATACAGTGGTACCTTGTTTCTCAAACTTAATCCGTTCCGGAAGTCTGTTCCAAAACCAAAGCGTTCCAAAACCAAGGCGTGTTTTCTCATAGAAAGTAATGCAAAACGGATTAATCTGTTCCAGACTTTTAAAAACAACTCCTAAAACAGCAATTTAACATGAATTTTACTATCTAATACGACCATTGATCTATAAAATGAAAGCAATAAACAATGTACTGCAGTCACACAATAATCAATCAATCAATCAATCAATCAATCAATCAATAGCTGAACTGGGTTCCACACAGTCACAAAAACAAAACAAAAAGAGCCGCAAAATAAATAGCAAAAACAGACAGACCTCAGTGTAACACTCAAAACGGAAGTGTTGCACTCAAAACGGAAGCGTAACACTCGAAACGGAGCACGTTCAGCTTCTGAAAAAAGTTCGCAAGCCGGGTTACTTACTTACTTCTGGGTTTGCAGTGTTTGGGTTCCAAGTTGTTTGAGTACCAAGGCATTTGAGAACCAAGGTACCACTGTAAGGGCACTTTCCCCTAAACAAAAACTCTGCAGTTTCAACACAAAGCTTTAAGCTAACTAAATTCACAAGAAACCAAGAAGCCAAGCCCCAGACATCACTCTGTTTGCACATATATGTGGAAGTAAATGAAATTGATTCTTGTCTTTGTTGCCCAGAACCTGGTGAGAGAAATAGACACATCAGATAATCTGTATTCTGCTGAGTCAGCTACCAGCAACTTGTTCAGTCTTACCCAGGAAGGCTCTCACCTGTGCCGCATCATTGCAAAGGTAAGCCCCCCTTGTACTGAGGCAATCTGAAAACTTCTTAGGATCTTTGTTGGCACATGTGTCCTTTTGTAGGTGTCTTGTAACATGAAATGACCAGGAAAGCTATTCTGCATTCTAAGAGGAAACCAGTGTTTCTGAAGCTCTACCTCAATCTATCTATTCATGCTCTATCTAAAAAAAAATGTCCACAAGTCAGTCCAAATGGGCTCTCATATTTGCCAAGATAAATATTGTCAAAACAATTGTAAAACAATTGCAATGTTAAAACCACAATAACCAAAGCAGCTGTTTAGCAAGCCAACCTAGCAATGTAACAGTAGCAGGAGCCCAAGGCACTACCCGTTATCCTTCCTTGCAGAGGAAGGTAGTTGCTGCTTTGCAGAGTGAATTCAGTGAAGCAGTCAGATGGGCTTCACTAGAATGAGAGTTCCATGGGCAAGAACTGCCAGCTCTCAACCTAACCTACATTAAGGTATCTGAAGAAATGTGCACGCATATGAAAGCTTATAACAAGAACAAACTTAGTTGGTCTCTAAGGTGCTACTGGACATTTTTTAATTTTTTTTTTTGTATATTTCAACTACATTATAGGGTTGTTGTTAAGACAAAATGGAATATGGGCCATGTATTCTGCTTTGAGCTACAGAGGAAAGATGGGATATAAATGTAATGTAATAATAAATAAATAAATGGCACCAGACGTTTGTCACCAGAGGATGTGGTCTTAATTTCACAGAGATACAAGGTTCTTTCAAAACAAGTTTTTTCTATAAAAAAATATTTAAAAAAATCATTTGAATTCAGGGAACTTTCTATTACTTCAATCGATTGCCTCTTCACATCTTTTTAATTTCAAAAGGTCAGTTGACAAGAAGTTGTTTGGGCTGTCAGTCACCTTGATTGAATGGTTTCAATGAAAAAATGAACTTTATGCTTAGGCATTGTGTTGGGGTTCTTCATAGTTATACCAGATTTCAGGAGTGGTAACAAAGAGAAGTAAATATAATATATTATATTTGACACAGCCAATCTGTTAGATGAAACAGACTGAAATCCTATGTGCATTTATGTGAAAATAAGCCCCATTGAGCACTGCGGAATTTCCATTTGAATACATTTGTGTGGAATAATACTGTGAGTTCCTTGAATTATTGCTGTATATTATTTTGGTTATTGTTGCTGAATTCACATCCTTCTTTTCTACAAAAAGTACACAAGGTGGCTCACACAAAATCAATACAGTACAAAATAAGATAAAAGAGAGTGCCAAGAACAGTCAAAAATAAGAAGCAGCTTTAAGAGCAGCAAATAAATGGCTAAGACCTATTTAGCCCCTAGGATTGTGTTCTCAGCCTAGAAGCACAAGAGTGGTCTCTTTGGCTTAGGCCAACATTTCATTTAGCCCAGCATTCTGTCTCTGATATGGGTCAGGCTCACAAGCATAATGTTGAGAGCCATCGCTTGTTGTTTGACTACTTCATCATCCTCATCAGATATATTACTCACCAAACCTGGAGTTTCCATTAAGTTACTACAGCTAATAACTGTTGACACAATAATCCTTTCTGAAGTTATTCTAACCCTAAAAAAGAAATTCACCTAAAACCCAAATTACAAGCTGCTTTGGAAGTGTGCCTACCATTATGATCCCAAAATTGATGGGTATCTCTCCATGTTAGCTTGGTACTTGTGTGAACAGAAGCTGTATGATCCAAGCAAATAACCACACCAGAGAAACCATAGTTAATGAAGGCATGGAGATAATCTGCCCAAACCAGAGGTGCTCCTGTCCATGTAGGCAGCTAAATGCTCTGAGGAACCCATGAGGGCAAGTCATTGGCCATTCTGGTATCCTGATAATTAAGTGACTTGTGGGTTGTGTAACAAAGTGCTTCATTTGGTCCATTACTCAATAACCCAGAGTTCTGGTCTTTCATCTGTAGAGCTACACGGCAGAGGAAATCAAAGCCCCTTCCACTGGACCCCTCTTACCCATCTGTATTTTATATTTCTCTCATTTTGTGTGGGAAAAGAAAAGCAGGGCATACATATAGTGCTTGAATACATTAAATTGTACATATTGACCAGAAGATTTGAAGAGAAAATTCTCTATCATGGTTTGTCTGTTAGGCTCTGCCTTTTGGACTGTCAGCTTCCAGACCCATAAATCTTACCGCGTTTGCAAAAACAATCTGTCTTTTTAAAGCTTTGCCATCACAGTAAGACCTCAGTTAAGCGGGGTTATTAATCTTAAGGATGGTTTGTTGGACTTGTAGAAAATGGGCTCTATTAAAGCAAATTATTTCTAAATTATTTCAGTGTTTGTCACAGTTAAGAATAAGGCAAGACCCAACAGACAGACAGACAGACAGACAAACAAACAAACAAACACAGAAACATGGTTAAGATTCCTGTAAACAGTTTTCTCCAAAGGGGATCTACTGAGCCCACCAAAGAGGCAGTGAGGGCATGATTTACAACTTGCTCACCATACCAGTGACATTGGAGTCAAGACTTAAGAACTGGATAACTATTAGGGTTGTTTTTTTAATAAAAATAAAAATAAAATAAAGCATCAGTTTTCACATGGCTGGAGGATGTAGAAGGGGGACCTTAAATTAGGCAGTTTACTCATTTCTCTTTCTTGCACACACCTCCACGGAACAGATTCATCCTTTAATATTACAGGCTACACCATGAAAATCAATGCTGTTTTAATAAAGGAGGTTGAGTGGATTTCCATTAAAATGTTTCTCAGCCCTATAGCTCTGATATTTAGAATGCCCTTCGATCACACCAGGTTTTTCATCCTGTGGTAAATAAAGGGTTGAGTCCAGCATTTAACGCTCAAGAGCAAGAATGTTTAAAAAGCTCCCGCAGCCTCCTTCCTTTAATCCTTTCCCTCTTAGATTAAACATGTTCACTTTCTTGAAGTTGTTAAACCATCTGCTTTGCCTCCCACAACCTTTATTTTTCATTTATTTGTTTCTTTATTTTAAAAAAAACAAACCACATTGCCAGTCTCCTTTGAACCTCTTTCAGTCTCTCCCTTCAGCTGCCTATGCAATGTGTGACCTGTGCAGCATATGGAGAAAATTGCCCAAGCTGCAGGGCAATCCACTGTACCCAAATAGCTTTCTCTTTGAACCAGCTGTTTTATGATCAACTGGCTTTACCTTCTATCAGGGAGAGAGAGACAGGAATGAAAGGCAAAGAGGCGTTACTGTAGAGTGCAGAGCTCCAGCTGTCAATTCTAATCCTGGGTTCTACATCACATCGGCCTGCATGCTCTTCCTGAAACACAAGAACAAGAAAGGCCCTACTGGACCAGACCAACATTTTCTTTCCCACAGTGCCCAAGTTGATGCCTCTGGGAAGCTCTCAGGTGGGACATGAGTGCAGTAGCACCCTCCCACTTGTGATACCCATCAACTGGTACTCAGAGACATTCTGCCTCCAATACTGCATGTCATGTAGCTCTCATGACTAATAGCCATTAATATCCTGAAGGAGTTTCTCCATCCCCATTGTTGAGCCCTGACACTGAGATCCAGTGCTGAGGGCCTTCTGGCAGTTCCCTCACTGTGAGAAGTGAGGTTACAGGGAACCAGGCAGAGGGCCTTCTTGGTAGTGGCCCTCTGCCACTACCCTGTGGAACACCCTCCCATCAGATGTCAAGGGAATAAACAACTATCTGACTTTTAGAAGACATGTGAAGGCAGCCCTGTTAAGGGAAGTTTTTAATGTTGGATGTTTTATCGTGTTTTTAATATTCTGTTGGGAGCCGCCCAGAGTGGCTGGGGAAACCCAGCCAGATGGATGTGATATAAGTTGTTATTATTATTCAAGTTGGTGGCCATCACTTCATTATGTGGCAGTAGATGCTACAGTTTAACTATGAACTGTCTGAAGAAATACTTAATTCACTCAGCTTCACTAGATGACCCCAGGTTCTAGTATTGTGAAAGAGGGAGAAAAACCTTTGTCTATTATCTTTACGCACTATGCATAATTTTGCACCTCTTTCTCATGTTTTCCCTTACTTTTTTTCTAAACTAAATGTTTCCTATTCCATGGAGGCATTCTGGTCTCCCTTGCGGACTCAGGCAACTGAAGATGCAGGGACCATTTGGTGCTGAACCTGGCATCTCCTCTCTGAGTGGATGCGTTAAGCTGCAAATGATATTACGCAGTTAATATATTTTGCTTTTTGTTGAAAGTACGCTGATAGTTCACTTTCTGTCAGTGGTAGATGAAAGCATGCGGCTGTGCAGCCTTTTTGTCACACAGTTGTTTCCAGCTAATGCACTAGTGTCAGCGGGGACTTAGCAGTGTCATCCATTTAAAGTTCCCACTTAATAAGGCTGTAGAGAAGAAAGATAGCCCTTCAGTAAAGCCTGATGGTCCTGCTGCCATTCTGTAAACTGATAAACTGTACTGGCTTTTAAACGTGCAGTGACAAAGTCTGCACAGTACATATTGCCTTTGATTTAGGATAAGTGCAGGGTAATTGTTTTTTAGTCATGTGTGCAAACATTTATAAAACTATGTCACATTCCGATATTTCATTTCTTTGCTTTCACACACAGACACACACAGCTTGGGTTTCCTGCTTGTGGAAAGCTGATATTAGTGTAGCTGAAAAGCTCAGGGGACGTGCCCAAAAATGGCAGGTGAAGTTTGCAATGAGGGCCACTGTGAGGTCAAAAAATATACCACAGATGAAGTGGTAGAATGGGCCTCTGAAAAAGTGTGACTCTGAGGCCAATTTTCTCCCTTCCAAGGATGCTTGAAACCAGGGGGGGCTAACATATGGCCCTCTGGAAGTTGTTTGATTGCAACTCACATCAGCCAATGGTGAGGAATGATTACAGCCAGCTCTATTTATAAATAGTGAAGGAAAGTTTAAACAAACTTGCAGAGGAGTGGCAGTAGTGGGGAAATAATTGGTCATTGAGGGAAGGGCAATTCCTCTGACAATTAAATTTTGGAGAAATGGTGTTCAGAGGAGGCAACCTAACTCTCCACCTTGGATGGGTGAAGGTTTGGCCCTGGATGCTGCTCTCTACTGACATTTCAAAGCAGCATGAGGGCAACACATGCACATTGTCTACAGTGACCACAATGCCACCTGCTCCCTTTTTAAAAGTCTACAATGAATGGCAACAGTCCTCCAGGGTTTCAGGCAGAAGTCTTTCCCAGCCCTAGATGCTATGGCCCTTGTGTGGTGCAAGATGTGGTGCACAGTGCCTGTGTAGTAGGATTCTGATGACAGATGATTGTCCCACTGACCTTCCACAGTGGTGATGAGCAGCTAGGTGTGCTGATTCTTCCCCTCTCAAGAACAATCTGGGAAATGTCAGGGAGAAGCTCAAGTATCTCCTGTCAGTTGTAAGCAGAACACAGCAGAATAGATTAATACTATTAGTGAAATCAAGCAATAGCTACATGCCTGTGGCCTTGGGTGATTAAAGGTTCTTCATCTGGTGCCTGGAAGACCACAGGCACCAGGCTAGCCTTCCTGAAGGTGTGTGAACAACCACCGAGAGAGCCCTCCTTCAAGGAGGACATCTGATGGTGAATGCAAGGCTCATTCAAATGCATGCAGCAGAAGTCTGTATCGCTTCTGGAACATTAGCATTTTCCATGGTATGCAAATGGAGTAAGATATAGTCAGGTTTTGTTATGAAGAAGTGGATACAGTTCCTACTTACCACCAGGTTAAATACACATTCATATCCATTTACTTACTTGGAGAACCGCTTGATGAAAAGGCAGAATGCAAATTTAACGAATAAGTATATTTTCCTACGTTAAATTAAACTCTTGGACTATATTCTTTTTATGTAGAATCAAAGAAAAGGTTGATGGCAACCCTTGGGCCACTGTTCTGCATTAGCTCCCAGGGAGATAATAGGACTATTCAAGAGCAGCTTTTGCCTTTCATTTTCATTCCATAAATCAATGGAATTTCATTTGCTTTCCTTGGGCTGTTCTATTGCCAGTAAAGCTTTCTGAATTGTCTTATTGCTGTGTAATGCAAATGTAATAGGGAAAAGGAAGAATTTCATGAAACTGCAAAACCACTCAAGCCGAGGATTTTAAGCAAACTTATCTGCAGATAATTTTCACTCGAATCAGTATTGAAATTTGTGGTGTCCAGAATTTCAGCAAGGCTAAACAGAACTAAGTTTATTTCTGCATTGGCCTGTCATTTTATTATTCCATTAGATATTGTGTCCTGGGGCAATTGCCTCTGAACCTGGGTCTGAATTCTGGCAAGGAGTCTGTGAAAGCAAACACATTGCTAATGAACTAATTCAAGACACTCAGAAAAGCTAACATTGTCTTGGGGGGTAGGATTTACACCTATTTGAAAATAGTAATTACAGACAGGGAAGCAGAAATGTGGATAATTACGCATAATTTGTGTGTGTGTGTTCTTACTTTTAGCTGAAGTGCACAATGAACAGTTTTCATTTTAATATTTCAGGAGTTTTCATTTTAATATTTCAGGAGAATATAGTGCTCTCGAAATTGGAAATTCTAATGGTAACTCACCATATGTGCAACAAATTTAAATTTAAAAGATATGTGTTCTCAACAGAAGCTTGTTTCTGCTGAGCTGCTGGTATGTACATAGAAGAAATTACAAAAAGAGTAATAGCTGGTCCTGAAATAAGACTGCATTGGACTGCATGATAATTTATTCCAACTGGTTTCCTGATTTTTTTTCAACAGGAAGGGGGCATTGTTGCTCTTTTTAAGATCTGTCGTCAGGATTGCTTCAGGTGCCTATATCCTCAGACACTCAGGACATTGGCATCTGTCTGCTGTGTGGAGGAAGGAATCCAACAGCTGGAAAAGGTATGATTATCTTAGCACTCTGTCTGTGCTAAAGAAAGTATTCTCCTTAGGACTTTGTATAATCCAAGCCAGGGAAAGTATTTATTCTTTCCAGAAAGGGACTTTTGCTCAATGTACTGGTTGCAAATATTGCACCCATTTATTTTAATGGATGCAGATAGCACTTTTATTAAGTGACCAGTTTTGCCAGTCAATCCTGAGATAAAGCAAGTAGCAAACAGCCTCTGCTGGATGTTTTTGGATCCTCCCTTCCTTTCGTTTGTAGTAGAACACTGTAGCGTAGCATCTAAGCAAAACTGGGCTGTGAATTGGGAAGCCTTTGGATTAAATCTTGCCTTAATTATGAATCTGTTCTACCCTACAGAGTAGTTCCAAGAATTGCTAAGATAATATATACCTATCACATATTTTTCCTGGCTTTTCTCCAAAGAGCTCCGGGGTGGTAAATTGGCTCTTTCTCCACCCATTTTACACTTGCAATAAGCATGTGATGATTAGCCCAAGGTGGGCTTCAAGGCTTAATGGAGATTTGAACATGGATCTCCCTCATCCCCAGTCCCCCAAGGGAAAATGTCCCAGGCAGGGCCAATATCAAAAGTGGGTGGGGCCAAAGTCCATCCACTCACCCCCTATTGTCTAGATCACTACATTTCATCTTTACATCCTTTCTCAGCATACAGAGGCAATGAGTGTAGCGTGGCCAGCATTCAAATTTGCCAGGTGCTATTGGCCACTTGCGACCAAGTGAAGATGCCCATGTACCAGGATGGTGTCTGACGTCTCCACCATCTGGAGGTGCATGCTTGGGAATCCTTGGATCTTGCTTGATTCCACACACTATCTGTGATATATTATCTGCACAATCAGAATGAATTTCAGGAAGAAAAATATGTATTGAAAAATATGACTTTTGAGCTGTCTGGCCCCCAAAGGACAACTAGACATTCTGTTTTGGCCATTGTAACCCTGGTTTGAGGAGCCACATGGAACCTAGCTTATATATCTGAGTTTCGAACACTATCAGTGACAGGCGAGACCTAGCAGGCTGGAGGTTCTCCATTGCTGTTCTAAACACTCCATATGCTGGCTCTCACAATGTGTGAAAATTGCTATGAATACTCAGCACGGTCAGGAGAACCAGTAGGAGGAGCAGAGAAGATATTGTTCTATTTGGCAAGCAGAAATGTTTATGCTTGTGTGACAATTGCATTAGTGCAACTTTGAATTCCACCCTAAGTATATACAGTTTTGCATAGGGAAAGTAAATATCGAGTTGCCTGGAAAGAAGTACATGAAGCAATTCTCTCTGAATTGGTTATATGACTTTGTTTATAAATTTGTGCTCTGCCCAGTACCTCCCCCAATTCACTGAAGTGTGGAGAGTTCTGAATAGATTTGAGTCATTTTTCCTGTCAACACTTCAGGGATGGTGACACATAAGGGGTAAATTAGCACCGGTTTCTGAGACAAATATAACAGCTGAAGATCTGAAAGAGGTTTTCAGCAATGTACTACACAGGCTAATTTTAACTCTCAAAGGTAGCTATTCGAAAAACCCTTGCAGTAAACATCAAAATGCCACCACTTACAATTTGAATTGCTCATAGCCTCCCTTCCCATTTTTAAACTTGGGAAAATGAGCACTATTACAGTCACTAAATCATGACCTCATACATCGCATTTCATAAAGCACATCTTGCACGTTTGAATAATGTGCCTCTTCAGCTTAATGATAAATGATTTCATTTGTACTTTACAATGACATGTCTTGTAATTGAGTGTCCTGAAGGGAAGCAAATAATGGTGGGACATCTGCAGCATAAGTGAGAACTGTAAGCCAATTGTCCATGGATATATTTTTTCTTTCTTTAATATTGTAGCTGGGTTCATGCAAAGAGATCCCAAGTCTTTCTCTGCTACATTTGTAATAAGCTTAGGATGGCGATATTTTTAAATGGAAGGAATTTATAAGATCTTCTTGAGCAGCATTTCCCTGGAAAAGCAGATTATCAATACTGGGGATACTGTTGGCAGGTATCTGTGGCACGAATCCTATGGAGATGCATCTTGTGTTAACCATGTAGGTGGTTTCTATCGGTGCTTTTGCAATTTGTTGGCTGTAGTTTCTGCATTCTTGCATACAGCAAAGGTTGTTTGAGGTGAACCAATATGAACCTTTGGTGCTATCTGGCTTTCTCTCTGCAGCAATAATGGCAGAACAACCCTTTCCCCTATTCCACAAACTTGTTCTTTTTCAAAAAAGGAAATGGGAGAACAGGGGTGTTGTGTGTCTGCTTTGTGCAGAATCACATCTAAGTGCAATGTCATAAAGGAGACACAAAGTTAAAATATACAAATGGCGAAGAGAGGCATGGTGTCTTGTGCTGTATTAGGGGATAGGTCAATTTTGCTTTCTCTCCATTTCTCATTTTTTCAGGTCTCAAGTTCATTTCTCCTCAATTCCAGATCAGTTTGTGGGTTGTTGTAGTTTTTTAAAGTCATCACCAACATTTACCAGCATTTTAGTGTCAAATTCTGTTAATATGCATATCCTCACACAGCAGTTTCCCCTAATACAATGCACTTTTGCCTGCTATTTTCACTCCTTGTAGAACAACCTTGTGGAAATTCTCAGAAGCATAAACTGAATACAAGTGACCATCTTTCGGGAAGAGATTAGCAGCCACCTCCCTTTCTACTTTTTAAAAAGGCAGCTGTTGTATCTTTCCTTTGTATAATTATGCTGTGTTAATTTGTTCCCCAGTACATTATATGAAGCCTAATGGTGCATTAGACTTCAGAAACATCACTTTAAATGGCAAACAGATTTGTGAAATTAGAGTTGGGGACAAAGCAATGAAATTAAGCTCACACTGGTCAAAATGACCTTTTTGGTTTTCTAAGCCACTAATGTTTCTACAAGTCCATTCAAAATGATAAAACAGGCTGCATCACTTAATGGAATATTTAGTGCTGTGGTAACTTTGGGTGGCACACTCCCTGAAGAGATTGCAATGCTTAGTTTCAGCAGATAACAGAAACATCTTGTGCAAGTTCCTCAAGTGGAAGAACACCAGTGTGCTTGAACCACTGGTGTGGGCTTTTTAATGTAAATATAGTGTTCGTCAACTTCCTGTAACAAGAGAAATTAAAAGGAGTGTCAGCACACACCCCTTGAGAACTTTAAGAGATCTTATCCTCCCCATCTCTGACTGACAAATGGCACTAGTTTGGTCAAAACATTTTTTGTTGGTGTCCCCTCTATGATTCAGATGCTCTGTTCAAGGAGGAACTTCCAAATGTTCTTTGAAAATATGCTAACAATAAGCACAAATGTAACAGAAAAAGAGAGTTTGGTCTGTAGGTAATAGATAGTAACTAGACTGCAGCTCCATGCAGTGCAAATTAGGTACTGTGGGCCATAATGAAAATGTGAGATTTGTCCTAGGAGTAGCAGGCATAATTTCCAGGGACAGCCCAGCACTGAGCATGGAAAGCTGGCAATGTGGACTCTTGCTGGTCCTGTATTCATCACTGGATGTTAGCTATTGAACAGAAACTTAAATTGGAAGAATGGCAGGAGAGCGACCTCTTAATTCTCCTGCTCTTCTTAAGGATTTCAACCGTTATTGGGAGAACCTGGGCAAACCACATACAGTAGTTAACACTTCATGTGGTTTGTGCCTAAAACATGGTTTAACAGGAGCTTGACCTCAAGACTGTCTCTGGTCAATGACCAGCATTAGATCCACTATACCATACTAAAGGTCTCATTGTTTTAATCCCTGTAGAAAGCAGATACATAAGGAAGGTGGTTCCAATCTTGAGGTGTTTAACATATTCTTTCAGTCATAGTTTGAGTGTGCTAATTCACCACACTCAGGACTACCTTAAGCCATGTGCTCACTCCACACAGAGCTGCCACTAGTTGCCTTGGGTTGTGTGTGAATAGCAAGCCACAAATGTCTGCATTGCTGTTGGGCAAAGTTGCCCTGTTTTCTAGCTTAGTGCTGAACTGGAGAGCACCAGAGGCCAGCCCTAAATGGATTAGCTAAGAACTGATTACCACACAGAATCCTGTCCCGTGCCTTTTCATATTCTAAGAAAGCAGCTATTTTTGAATAAAGGATGTGGTCTTCTAATACTCTTTGACAGGTGGGATCAAGATAAGCAATAAGCCTATTACTAAAATTAGGGCAACTCTCCAGAGAATTATAGACCCATGACAGAGCCTGGATGGTGCCAGTAGGACTTAACTGACAATTTCTTAAGTCAGAAATAATATCTAATTAGTTTAAGAGGAATGCAGTACCAAGCCAGTAATGAATACCAGTTGCTGCAATATAAATTAGCAGCTATACTTTATAGGACAGGAGACAATGCATTCAACCAGGGAGGGCTACAGATGTTGCTGGGGCTACAATTCCCATCACCCTGACCATGGTCTTTTCAATCATGGAAGAAGCTGCAGCATGCCACCGTGGAAATCATTATTCAGCTAGCCATGCAGGTATTGCCATTGAACAAAACATATTTGTTTTGAAATGTCATGAAGAGCCAGATAGCTAGAACCCATTAATTTGTCTAGAAATGGATAGGAGGGATTGTGTGTGTGTGTGCTGCAGAAAGGCTGATAATGGCATTAGTTGCTCCTGCATCTGTTCAGATCTAGGTTCCTTAATACAGGCTGCAATTAGAGAAGAGGATCGGCAAATTTTTTATGCTATGAATCTTCTTAGGTTGTCCAGCCATTTTGGGGTGGTAAAGGTAAAGGGACCCCTGACCATTAGGTCCGGTTGTGGCCAACTCTGGGGTTGCGGCGTTCATCTCGCTTTATTGGCCGAGGGAGCCGGCGTACAGGTCATGTGGCCAGCATGACTAAGCCGCTTCTGGCGAACCAGAGCAGCGCACGGAAACGCCAATTGCCTTCCCTCCGGAGCGGTACCTATTTATCTACTTTCACTTTGGTGTGCTTTTGAACTGCTAGGTTGGCAGGAGCA